TCTTATCTCCAATTAAATACAGAAAAAGCCAGCAGTGGTACTGTGGTTCAAGTGGTAGAGTTCTAGCCTTGTGCAAAAGGACCTTAGGTTCAGTGCCCAGGCCCAGAGTTCAAGCGTCAAGATTGGCAAAAGAGACAGAAAGACAGAGACAGAGACAGAGAGATAACAACGTGGTATATGTGAGCCTCCTTCTAAGCACTCTACTGGCTCCATTTCATCCTCTCATTCACCTTCGGAGGAATTCAATCAGCAACTTTGTTTTACAGAAGGGAAAAACAGACCTCGGAAGGTTGAGAAGGCTGCACTGGTCCAGGATAAGAGGCCTAGAATCTCCAGGCTTTTTCCATCCCTGTTTCCCTGTCTTGAAGTTACACTGCAGATTGCAGATCAACAATAGTGCTGCAAACTCTGTGCTGCCTTGGAAAAAATCTCCTCCCTCCCCTTCATGGAAAGTCAGGGTTGGCCTTTATTCACCATTCAATAGAATTTTATGCTTTTATTACTTTTCCTTTTAACCAGTTATAACATCTGTGGTTCCCTCATTGTTTAACAAGCAAAATAAAAACCCTAACATGTGGTCATTTTCATCGCTGAGAGTCATGACTTTAGTCTGTTTCTGAAAACGATCACTTAACGGGGCCTGCCTTAGAAACCACTGCCCGAATCTTACTCTGGTAGCTGTGGAAACCAGGCCTCACGTTCCCCCTTGCTCATCTTCCTAGAGGGGACCTTGGAAGGCCTATGCTCTCAGACACACCAGGGCTGTCTCACAACTGTCCTTCCCAGAGGTTGGTGATGCCCAGAGAGAAAAGCAGGTGTGCCCAGGTGTGCATACTGCACTATCAGGCACACAGCCTCCTGGGGCTCCAGTCCAGGGCTCCCCTGACTCCACATGGAGTCAGAGGTGCAGTGTGGGGTTTACAGCTCTCCCCTGCAGTGCTGCCCTTTGTGGATATTTGGGCGGGCCTGGTGCCCCCTTGTGGCTTCTCTTGTCTCTGCACAGGCCCTGCAAGGCTCCTGAGATTCCAGAGGCTTCTAGTACCATCATCATTTCTCCATCCCCACCAGATCCTTTATCTAGACTCTTCTGACCCCAACTGAGGTCTTAAAAATGGGCCTCAAGGGGCTGGGAAGGTGGCTCAGTGGTAGAGCGCTTGCCTTGCATGCATGAGGCCCTGGGTTCGATTCCTCAGTACGACATAAGCAAAAAAGAAAAAAATCCAGAAGTGGCGCTGTGGCTCAAGTGGTAGAGCGCTAGCCTTGAGCTGAAGAGTTGAGGGACAGCACCCAGGCCCAGAGTTCAGGCCCCATGACTGGACCCCCCCCAAAAAAAATGGGCCTCAAACTGGACACCCATGGCTCACCCCTGTAAGCCTGCTACTCATGAGACTGAGATCTGATGGCTGAAGCCTGGCTTGAAGCCAGCCAGGTCAGGAAAGTCCATAAGATTCTTATTTCAATTAACCACCAAAAAAATCAAAAGTGGAGCTGTGTCTTAAATGGCAAAGCACTAGCCTTGAGCGAAAAAGCCAAGTGACAGAGCCCTGAGCTTATCCCTAGTGTTGGTGTGTAAGCATATATGTGTATGTATATGCGTGCACATGTGCGTGCACACACACACACATACACACTTTCCCAGTCGTGGCTCCTTCACCTCTTCTTCTCTCTTCTTATCTTAATTAACCAACAGAAAGCTGCAAGTGGAACTGTGTCTCAAGTGGCAGAGCACTAGCCTTGAGTGGAAAAGGAGAGTGAAGGTGCAAGACCCTGAGTTCAAGCCCTAATATAAGCCCACCTAGAATTAGTATATGATGCAGCCATCCTTCTAGGACCCCCAGAGCATGAGAAGAAGGGTCTCAAAGAGATACTTTACATGGATGTCGATCGCAGCATCATTCACCATAGCCAAAATGAGGGAGAAACACACCTGTCCTTTGATGCCTGGATAAATCAGCAGACTGTCGTGTGCTACAGGCAGTGGGAAACCACTCTTCCTAAAAAGGAACTCTGTCACATGGTACACCGTTGAACATGGACTTTGACGATGATGTGATCCATGAAACAAGCAAGTCACAGAAGGTCAAATGCTATAGAGTTCCACTTACATGGCATACCTGCAATAGTCTGAATTATAGAAGGTGAAGAGGTTGAAAGAGGAGGGAAGTGGGGGATTATTGTTTAATGGGTGCAGAGTTTCAGTTTTGCAGGCTGGGAGCATGGCTCAAGTGATAGAGCATTCATCTAGAACACCCTGAGGCTCAGGGTTTGATCCTCAATACTGGAAACAATAAATGTTTTCACAGTGCAGTTTTGTAAGATGAAGAGTTAGAGGGTGTGATGTATACCATGCCATTGAACTGTCCACTTAAAAATGATTAAGATGGTCAATTTTGTGTTACAAATATTTTAATGCATTTTTGTGCCAGTACTGGGACTTGAACTCAGGCCCTTGGCGCTGCTAGTTAGCTTATTTGCTCAAGGCTGGTGCTCTACCCCTTGAGACAAACCTGTACTATAGGCATTGTATTTTTTAATGGTTAATAGAGATAAGAGTTTTAGGACTTTCCTGCCTGGCTGGCTTCAAACCATAATCCTCAGCTCTCAGCTTCCTGAATACCTAGGATTATAAGTATGAGCCACTGTCAAATGGCTTCAACTGATTTTTTAAAGTAATAATATTACATTAAATGTATATTTCAAAAGAAGTTCTCTGCTCTTGGTGTCAAGTATGCTGGGAACTCAGCTACCTCTTAGCCACTCGGTATAAATAAAGATTAGTATTAATCACAGAGAGCCTCCTGGAGGAGGTGAGATGGTTGTGCTTAGGTTAAGCCAAAAGAGGAGATTCCCATAGTGAATCATCCTGCCATAGTGCCTATATGGGCCCTAGCCTTAGCCCATGTTTTCACAGTTTCCAAGGAGACAGGGAGTTTGGAATACCCACATTGCTGTCACTTGGCAACAAGGAACTGGTGGCTGCAGCCACCAGCCAAGTCCTTTCCACTCCCCGGGGCCCTCAGCTCTGGCATGGGCTCTGATTTGGTCAGGTAGAGGGGACCAGCCGGGGAAGCACCATCCACCTGCTTCCCTTCTTAGCTCCCACGGGCCTCCCAGCCATCCTGGGACTCTTGCTGATGTAGGTAAGTCCACAGCAAGCAATGGCAGAATCAGGCATGACGCAGACAACTTCAGTCCTGCCCATCCAGGGATGTTGGGGCGTAGGATGGACTGAACCCAGCCCTGGCCCCCAGGGAGCTCTCAGCCTGGTGCAGGAAAACAAGGTTACTTCCTTTTCCAAGGTGTTAATGGCTCTCCTGCATTGGCTACTAGAAGCAGACTTGCTAGGTCACCCTTAGCTGGAGGTAGGAGAACGGCAGGTAGCACTCAATGCCCTCGATCCCCATCGCAGTCACCCACCAGTCAGCACCAGAGCCATAGTCTCTGAATTTGCACCGCTTTGCAAAGGGATGTGAGTGGAATTGCCTTGCATGACCTTTCTTCTGGGAGTTCCCAGCGGCTGAGCTCTAGCTGTCTGTGGCAGTGCCACCTCCTTCTCTCCCCCATCCTCTGTCCCCATTTCCCTCCTGCTCCCAGACAGCCACTCAAATTCTCACCTCTGAATCGGCTTCTGAGAGAGCCCAGGCTAAGACAGGAGTGGTGAGGTTTAACAGGGAGATGCAAGCCATGATTGGTAAGCATGGCAGTGTGGCAACACAGGGCAGGACTGAGGCAGGAGCTAGCTGCACAGGGGCTGGCAGCAAGGGTGTGTTATTTGTTAAAAACTAACAACAAAACAGCAACAACAGCCTTACAAGCAGTAAGAAAAGGGATGAAAGGCTGATCTGCCTTTTATTATCACCACAAACCAGCATTTCTCACCAACTTCGATGATGAACTTTCCCTCCTCACTGGGGCTGATAGCTCTTACTGTGCCAAACCTGGCTCTTGGCACCCATCAAGGCTCAGATCACTGAGAAAAGGGCGATCAGTCCCAGGCAAGACATGAAGGAAAGGTGGCGTTGACACTCCATTCCCAGAACCTGTCCCACCTCTTCCACCTTGGGGCCTTTGCACACACTGTCCCTTTACTGTAATTCCTTTTGTTCCTTTATCCATTAAAGTTCATTTCTTCCCCAAAGACGCCCTTGCTGGTCCCCCAAGCCAGAGATGCCTCCTGTGGGCTTGCAAATGGCCTCCCCCTCTTCTCAGTTTTCAGACTGGAGTGAGCTCCATAGAGACAGAAGCTATATGCTTTGTCCATCCAGGCCTAGTTCACAGTAGGCACTTAGGAATGGAGCTGCCACTGGGCAGATGCACATTTCACAACCTACACTATTGTCCATGGCAGCCTAGTTGATGAAGGTGTGTTAAAGAAATGAATGAATCTATGGGAATCTTCCATAATTGGGAAAGGACATTAGAAGCAGAAGGGACAGACTAAGGCAATATCAAGAAAAACAAAGTGAAGGGGTTCTTGCTAACCTAAGAGGCAGAGCACCGGGTCCCAATTCTGCCACTCACTAGCTGAGTTTGTGCCTCAGTTTTCTCACCTGTGAAGGGTCATTATCATCAATACCAATTGCATAAGGTTGAGTAGGAAGCATTCAATAAATCTGTGCAAGTAACGCACTTAGAACAGGGTGAGTACTGCATGCGTGCTAACAATTCTGAATATATCTTAGACACATTTCCTAAGTGTTTCCCTAGCTTAGATCCCTCCCCCCCACACACACACATTTTTTGAGGATGCTAAGTCTGTAGTTCCCAGAACGGTGGTCTTTCCCCGAGGACACATCACCCTGTGTGTCACTGTCCAGACAGCGGCAGGTAAGATGAGGGCCCCCAGCTTTGAGGGCCTCCACAGCCCGGCTTGGCCCGGCCCACGCACTGCTGGGCGGAACTTTAAGCGTCGCACCCGCGTTTCCAGTCCGTGCGTCTAGAGATCGTACGCCTCGAGGCAGTGCGCCTGCGCGTGGAGCACTTCCGGCGCCGGGCACTACGCCTGGGCTGCTTCTCTTTTGGCTGCAGGAGCAGAGCGGGCCGGAAGCCGCGGATCGTGCTGCGGGCTCGCGGTTGTCCCAGGCGGGACGGAGCGGAACGGCTCGCGGCGCTGACCCCTTCCTCTTTGGCCCGCGGAAGCCAAGGCGCTCATGGCGGGTCTAGAAGTCCTTTATACGTCGGCTGCGCCGTCCATCACCTGCCCGCAGGACGCGCTCGTCTGCTTCCTACACTGGGAGGTGGTGACCCAAGGCTACCACGGCCTCGGCGCCGGCGACCAGGTACGCCACGAGCCTGCTGGGGTCATCCTCCGCCCAGACCCCGAGGCCTGGTGGCCTGTCTGGTGCGGGACGCCCGAGCCCGAGTTCACAGCCCAGGGGCTCGCGAGACAACGTCGTACCAGCGCTGCCCGACAGTTCCAGGCCACAGCCGGTGGATCGAGCACCGAGACCGGTGTAGCTCTCCCGGGATCCCCGCCAAGCTCCGTACGGGCACGGAGCGGGATGGGGGAGACGCCCCGACGCTGCCCTGATCCCCAGCTCTAGCCTCCCAGACATCTGAGCCCTGATAACCCAGCCTCCCAGACATCCGAGCCCAAGCACAGGTCTAAAGGGTGAGCTGGGACCTAATCAGCCCCAGTCAAGGGCCGGTTCTTCACCGTTCAGAGCTCACACACACACCCTCACCCGTTATCACGCTGGCAATACAGTTGACTAGCTGCTGTCACCTGGCTCAGCTCCAGGAAACAACGCCCCCAACACGCAACTACAGTCCACCACGCCCTGGCGGTGTGGGTCCTCTCTAAAGCTGGCCCCTGCAGGACAGCTCCTCTTTTCCCCATTCCCGGATTCTGACTCATTGACATCCCCACAGAAATCCAGGACTCCTTCTTAATCTATTGATCTGCCTTTTAGTTTTACATACTGTGTAATGTGTGTGTGTAAAACGATGAGAAGAACAAGGCATCCACTGGTTTCAACAACAATCCACCATTTGAATTCGGTGCCACTCCTCATGGGAGCTTTCTGTGGCGGGGGAATGGAGATGGCCATACACTTGAGTTAGAGAACGTGGCTTTCTATTGCGGCAATCTAAGGATTAAAAAGGAAGAGAAAATACCCCAAAATTATCTGTTTGGGTTCTTTTGTTTTAACCCAGAGACACTAGGATGAGTTCGGTGGCCATTAAGAATGTTTTCAGTCCCAGCGTTTTGCCTAAAACGTCAATTATCTTCTTTTTTGGGGTGGTGGTGATGATGGGTATTTTAGTGGACCTGGCCGAGAAGAGTTTCCGGCCATAGCCTCGGCTGGCAGGAATTCAGCTCTGCACTTCACTTGCTGTGAGTCTTAGCTGCTTTCCAGTTTTTAGTTGTCATCCAAAGGAGTTAAACTATGCACCTGTGTCCTGGTTGCTTTTCACCTGGAGCTTTCTTAGATATTTGTGTGTGTGTGTGTGTGTGTGTGTGTTGTTGTTGATGGTGGTTGGTTTTTGGACCTTGGGTCCAAAGGACAGTCAAATGCTTTGTTTGGCCCGATTGTACCAGGGTTTGTCCCATCAGTCCTAACTGCTTTCTGGGGAACAGCAGTGAGGGCCATCCATCTTACATGAACAGGGATTCACTCAACTCTGGAAGCCAAAGATGAGGTAGTAAGAAGATCAAATCACTTTTATGTCGAGAGAATTTATGTGGACTGAGTAAGTGTGGAATTTTCAGAGGATGTAGGAGAAAGTTAAAGGCCTTTGACAGAACAAAAATAAAACCTGTGATCAAACCCACCTGTCCAGAAAAACCTTAAACATTCATAGCTCTGAAGTGTCACAGGAAATGAGCCTGGGTTGGGAAAAGGGTTTGTTTCACTTTCCTGGATGTGTGGTTTGATTAGTTTCACTTTTAGTTTTTTGTTGTTTTTATGTCTCACTGGGGCCAGTGAATTTCACTGTCATTAGCCAGGTTTAAATTATTCCAGTTGCTACCTCCTGAATTTTACTTGGGATCATTTTCCCCACGTGGATTCTCAAAACAGGAGGGAGATGAAAGATGCCAGCTATTCTCAATTAATGGCCTCCTGTTGTTCTTAACAGATATTACTTTCACATTTTGTCAGTGAGCAGAAGCTTTTTTATTTTTTTTTTGCCAGTCGTAGGGCCTGAACTCTGTGGGCCTGGGCACTGTCCCTCAGCTCTTCAGCTCAAGGCTAGCGCTCTACCACTTGAGCCACAGCGCCACTTATGGCTTTTTTCTTTTTGCTTATGTGGTGCTGCGGAATCGAACCCAGGGAATCGAACTCATGCATGCAAGGCAAGCACTTTACCACTGAGCCACCTTCCCAGCCCTGAGCAGAAGCTTTTTATAGACTGTCTTAAAAGTGGCATTTTTTTTCTTTAATGGCTCCTGTGTAAGAATACTTTCCCCACCTAGAAATCAACTGTGTTTGCCTTTAACATCAAGACAATTTGAGAACTGTTTCAGATTTCTTACATGAAAGTTTTAGGATTTTAAAAAGAAAGAGGCCAAGCATAGTTGCTCAAGCCTAAAATGATAGCAGAGACCAAGATCAGAGTATTATAGTTCAGTAACAAAAAAAGGTTTGTGAGACTTCATCTCAACTAAAAGCTAGGCATGATGGTGAGTATCTGTTATTCCAGCTACTCTGGGAAGTACAAATAGAATTGCTGTCTAGGCTAGCCCCCAGACATTATATGAGAATCTATTTTTTAAAAAAATAACCAACACCAAAAGGGCTAATGGAGGAGTCTGGCAAATAAAGAAGGAAAATACCACAACTCACAGTACATTGTATTTTTGCATGCACCGTAGAAATTAAAAGCTTCTGGGAGTTGTACCACATGTGTACAAGAATGTTCACTGCATTCTTTATAATGGCAAAAGAAATAGACTAGAAGCACTTTTGATCACCATCATCCAGTGATCATGAGTGTCAGCTTTGTCATTCAGTGGGATGCTGTTGTGAATTCAGTCAGTCATAGTTAAATGCACTGTGGGATGGATCTCCAAAACCAATAATTAGATCAAGAAGACAGTTGGCAAAACTGTTTACTCAGAAACATTTGAGACTTTTTTATGGTTGCTCCTATACTAATGGAACTCCAGGACAAAGTAAAAAAAAATGTTGTCAAGAGTAGTGGTTACTGTCAAGGGAGCAGAAGCAGGTTCACGTAATATGCTATGCCAGGCTATAGTGAGGATGTCAGTGTTTGGTGATCAGTAATCTTTTTTGGTGATCAGTAACCTATATCACCTAATGGTAGCTACAGAGATCTGTCTTACAATTTAAAAAAGTGCACGTTTTAGTGTACATAAATTTTTTTTATAATTTTTCTTAAGCCACTGTCAACATTTTGTGATCTATTACAGATGACCCAAGATCTCGTCATGGAAGATGTAGCCCCACCTTGAGACACTTGGTCTCCTCCCCACCCCCCCTTTCTTTTGTACTGGTACTAGGGCTTGAACTCAGGACCTCAGGCTCTTGCTTAGTTTCTTTTGCTTAATGTTGGTGCTCTGCCACTTGAGCTACACCTGCAGTTCTAGCTTTTTGCTGGTTAATTAGAAATAAGAATCTCATATTTGTCTGCCCAGGCTGGCTTCAAGCTGAGATCCTCAGATCTCAACCTCCTCTAAGTAGCTAGGATTGCAGGCATGAGCCACCAGCATAGAGCCATTTGGTTTTATTCCCAGCAGGACGATGGAGAAGCTGTAGGTTCTCCCCAGGTCCTGTGCTGTGTCCTAAAGGCAGCAGATACCTGGGAGAGCCCTGGGTCCAAGGCATCTATCTTGCTGAATGTAACTTGGCCTCTGTATCCTTGTCTGTGACGTGAGGGTGGGACTAGATATCTGTAAAGTCCTTTAGAGCTCTGTGTTCTCATCTTTCTCCTCTCAACACTGGTGTCTTCCAGCCAGGTCCCAATGATAAGAAGTCAGAACTGCTGCCAGCTGGGTGGAATAGCAACAAAGACCTATATGTTATCCGGTATGAGTCCAAAGATGGCTCCAGAAAGCTCCTGATGAAAGCCGTCACCATAGAGAACAGCATGATCATCAACGTGCTGGTGAGTCAGGTCTGTGTGGTCTGTCCATGGTATGAGAATTGGGATAAAACACCTTTAACACAATGGAGGGGGTAACAATGCTTAATAGGAAGTGTACTCATTACCTTGCTCATGTAACTGTAACCCTCTGTATAGTAGCTTTACAATAAAAAAAATTAAAAAAAAAACACCTTTAACAGAGGGCATATCCCTGAAGCTTGTACCCAGTGTCCTCACTTCTGGAGCGTTTTCCTGAGGTGAGACCCCTAAATGCAGAAAGGCTTTGTTACAGAGATGCTCACTGCTGGTGTGACAAAGCAAGGGCTTTCGTCCACAAAGTAATGTTAAACCCATTCAGTGACATCGTAGGGGAAAGCAATGGCTTGTACCTCATTGGGCTCTTTTACTTTAAGTCAGCCACATTCTTTGTTACCTCAGAGGGTTTACATTTCATATTTCTAAAGATGCTAATTCCTCCCCCCTCCTCCCACACTCCACTGTCCCTTCATTCCTTCAGCTGCATAATTTCTTCTCTTTTTTCACTACTCAAAAAGTTCAGTCCTGACACCTCACTCCCAGCTGCCAGGAAGATGCGTCTCCTCACTGTCATTGTACTTCCTGCAGGGTACCCATCATGTCTTGCAATTATGCACTTTTATTTGTGCTTTGCTTTAATGTCTAAATTCTGTCACTGAACTATAAGCACCCTGAGGGCAATTGCTTTCTTGTTAAATCTGTCATGGTGGTCTGTGTCTGTTAATATGCAAGTAAGGTAACTCCTTGATATCTGCAAGTGTTCCAGGGAGAGAGCCAGTGAAAGCCCATGCATGCTTAGGATGCAGAGTTCTGCTGTACTGTACACGTGCCATTCACTTTCTCCATAATGCCATTGAACTTTTCTGCTAAAGACCTCCTGATTTTCACCAAATCTCAAAATTTTCACTTTATCACTTAAATTAGGTACATTAGTGTATTTATTTATTCATTTGTTTGTTTGCTTGTTTGTTTTTGGTACTGGTCTTGGGGCTTGATCTCAGGCCTTTGTGCTGTCACTGATTTTTTTTCCCCCCTCAAGATTAGTACCTTACTACTTGAGCCACAACTCCACTTCTGCTTTTTTTGTTGGTTAATTGGAAATACAAGTCTTGTGGACTTTCCTGCCCTACCTGGTTTTAAACTGCCATTCTTAAATCACAGCATCCTGAATAGTTAGAATTTAGGTGTGAGCCACTGGCACCCAGCTTACATTAATTTTTAACCTTCCTTTTTGATACCATTTGCTTTTGGAGAGGTAGATTTACACAAAATTCAGAGAAAGGCTAGGCCCATGTGGCAGATCACACAGTGATTTAAACACAACTGACAAATAATGCTAGACTTACTGAAAGCTTTCCACATCAACTCAGCTGTGTAATGCATACAGAGATTTTATTTTATTCTTTTGAATTTTATTGGATTGGTTTTAAAAAATTTTTTTTACTGTGTTTGGTGAAAACTGTAAATAGGCAGGCCTACTGTATCATACGGCATATTTTGTACTTTGCTTTTTTTGCAAGTCTTTACACAAGAACATATTTAAGACATACCTCATTTGCTTTAGCTACTATAAAATATTTTCACTATACCTTCCATTGATGAGCACTGAGTCTTGTAAACAGGGTTCTTATTTGTAAGCAACAGAATCCCTTCAGGTTAGTGTAAGAAGAAAGTGTTTTAAAGAACTGAGATAGCCCATTGAAACAGGTCAGTGTTGGGCTTACAGAAAGCAGTGCCTCACACCTTAGAAACCACTACTTCCTACCTGCCTCCAGCTTTAGGTGCTATCTAGTACTGCCAGCTTGGTGCTTTGTATCAACCACTGCTGTAACCCTTATATTCTCCATTGCTACCCTTATTAGCAAGATGCCTACTTCTTGTGATGCCTGTTTCTCCATGTCACTGAAGTCACTGTGGTACATCCATCAGGCACCTTGATTACATGCCTGGGCCCATGATGTGGACATTCTTGGAATTTGGTGTTGGAAAGGCAATATTCCTAAACCACAGATGTCCCTAAGTGTGAGAACGTTTCACACATTAGAAACAGTTCTTATATCTGTTGCTTTGTGAACATAAGTGAGTAAATCAGGTTGTATGTCCTCCCTATCCACGCACACCTTAGCCCAGAAATATCCCCGTCTCTTACTCTCTTATTTTCATTTTTCTAGGAATATGGCTCACAGCAAGTGGCAGACTTGACTCTGAACTTAGATGATTATATCAGTGATGAAGATCTGAGTGACTTCCACAGGTACTTCTAAATGATGTCTTTAACCTAGCGCAAGGAAGAGAAGCAACAGCAAGAATGAGAAATGAGGTTGAAGTGCCCAAGGCAAGTGAATGGAAGAACTTGCTTTCCGGGGAACAGTCATTTTTTTAGTTCTCTTTTCTGCTTTCATTTATTGGAAGAGGAAAAAAAATCATACAGGACATAAAATGAGGAATTAATCAGATGTCTGCAGGCCCAACAGTGGTGACAGAGTTGAGGCCAGGCCAGCTGGTTCAGTCCAGTGTGGGCTTCTGGCGAGGAGGTATGCCAAATCAGGTCCCCACTCCACCTTAATGTTATTTACTTACTTACTAATTTTTGTCCGTAACAGGACTTGAAATCAGGGTCTCAAGCTCTAGCTTGATCTTTTTGCTTACACTGGCACTCCCTCACCTCTTCAGTGGCTCTGGCATTTTGCTGGCTAATTGAAGATAAAAGTCACAGATTTGTATATCCAGGGTGGCTTCAAGCCTTGATCATCAGATCTCAGCCTTCTGAGTAGCTAGGATTACGATCATTGCAAGAGTCATGAGTGACAGGCCCAGATTTTTTTTTTAATAAGCTTTATTTTTCGAGCACTTTTAGGTTCATAGTAAAATAGAGCAGAAATGACAGAGTCCCTATGTTGCCCCTGAGCAAGAAGAACCCCTCCCCCTTAGCCCCTGGCAACAGAGTCCACATCTGTTACCATTCATGACCGAACACAATACTTACCACCTGACATTCACATGACGATTCATCCTGGTGTCCTACATTCTGTGGACAGTGACAGTTTCACTCCATAAAATTCTCTGTGATCAACCTGTTCACATTCTTCTCCTACCTATGCCTGGAAACTCTGATCTCATCACTTTCTCCATGGTTTTGCCCTTTTGGAACATCATGTAGTTGGAAAAAATTTCATATGAGCTGTCTCCATTGTGTCTGTACTTTTTTACTTTCCCATCGATGGAGAAGGGGTTCTCTTATTCGGCATCCTGGCCAGCATCTGACAATGCCAGTGTTTTGAATGTAGGCCATTCAAATAGTAGTATTTCTTTGCTTTCATTGTAGTTTCCTAGAATATATGGAATATCTTTCCTTTTGCTCTTCTTTGCCATCTGCATTTCTTCTTTGCTCAATTTATTTTCTTTCTGCATTTTAAGAGTTCATTGTATATTTTAAACAATGGGTTTTTTACTTGATCTGTGTTTTGCAAAAATTTTCTGTCTTGCTTGTCTTCTCCTTTTCTTGACTGTTTTGTGGTACTGGGGATTGAACATGGGGCCTTACTAGACCCCCACGTTTGCTAGACAGGTGCTCTTATCACTGCTCCAGCCCTCACTTGATATGTGAGGCTCTTATTTTGAAATTTTCAACACATGAGAGAGATAGCTTGTAAAAACACAGTGAACACAACTATCATGTACAATTGCCAGGTGTTTTGTTGTTTTTTTAAAAAAAGACATTTTCCACTCTTTCTTAATTTGTTCATATTACCTTTTGTTTTTTAATCATCTGAGGGTATTCCTAGACTCTATGAACCTTCACCCCTAATACTGCAGCACAAGGGCCTAACGTCAATACAACTGTCACACTTAGGAATAAAGCATCTAATATTCTGTCCATATTCTAATTTTTGTCATGCCAACAGTGTCCTAATCTTTGAGGTTTTTCTTTTCTTTTTCTTTCTTTCTTTTTTCTTTTTTTCTTTTGTTGGTCATGGGGCTTGAACTCAGGGCCTGGGCACTGTCCCTGAGCTTTTTTTCCCCTACCATCCCTTCCCTCCCACCTCCTCAACTACACTCCCCCCCTTCCTGCGTCCCCTTCTCCTCCCCAGCCCCCCCCCCCCCCCCGAGCTTTTTTGCTCATAGCTAGTACTCTACCACCTTATGCCACAGTTCCACTTCTGGATTTCTGGTGGTTAATTGGAGAGAAGAGTCTTACAGACTTTGCTGCCCAGGCTGGTTTTGAATTGCGATTCTCAGACCTCAGTCTCCTGAGTAGCTAGGATTACAAGCATGAGCCATCAGCGTCCAGCTTTGGGTTTGTTTATTATTAAAGGATAAAGGACAGTGTTATGTCCAATTGGGAACTGTGTGCCATAGTCTTCATTCCTCTGCAGGAAGTATTCTCTAGTACAGTGGTAGTTTCATGTTCTAAGAAATTGTTTTCTAGAAAGTTTACAGCAGTTCACATCCACAACTCATATATGAGTGGCCCAGTTCTGCGTCTGTGTTAGCATTCAGTTTATATTAATTACTCTTGTAAGTGTGTAGTGATACCTCATCATAGTTCTAATTTGTAATTACCCTAATAGTGAATGAGGGGTTTTTCTCTCTAATCCTTATGCCTTAGTACAGTGCCTGTAACTTCCTATATTCCAGTATTGTGTCACATGAGAATAGTGAGAGAGGACATGCTTGTCTCACCCAAGACTAGGAGTAAAGCACTCAGTCATCATGAAATGGATTGTTAGCTCTACGCTCTTGCTTTTTTTGAAGCTTTGACGTGAGAGTGATCATGAAGTGAATTGGGAAATGTTCTTTCCTGTTTCCTGGTGATGACTGTCAAATTGTCTTTTTCTCTCTATTTAGTAGACTTCCCTGTATTTAGGTCTAAAGCCTGTCTTGGGGGAAAGGGTACTTCATTGTGAATTCAATCACATTAATACAACTGTTCATATTATGTATTTTATTTTGACTGAGTTGTAATTTATCATTGATGAATAATTGATTATTCTGAGTTACTGAATTTGTTCTGTACGTTCTCTTTATCTTTTCAGTGGTTACAAATCTATGGTATCAAATATCACTTTGACATTAGTTTGTCATTTTTTATACACTTGTAAATTTTACTAGAGGTTGTCAGCTTCCTTCACTTTCTTTTTTCTTTTTTTGGTCGGTCGTGGGGCTTGAACTCTGGGCCTGGGCGCTGTCCCTCAGCTCTTCATCTCAAGGCGAGCACTCTACCACTTGAGCTACAGCACCACTTCTGGTTTTCTGTGGTTTATTGGAGATAGGAGTCTCACGGTCTCTCCTGTCCGGGCTGGCTTTGAACCGCGATCCTCAGATCTCAGCTTCCTGAGTAGCTAGGATACAGGTGTGAGCCACCAGCGCCCGGCCAATCCTTCACTTTCTTAAAAGCCAGATTTCTTTGCATTTTACTATTTCCAATTTTACTGATTTCTGCTCATTGTTACATGCTTGCTTCTGGTTTGGTTTGCTCTTTTCTAGATTCTTGAGGTCAACATTGACCTCACTGGCTTGAGGCCTTTTCCCACTTCTAACATCTGTCTTTAATTTTAGAGTTTCAACAGTGCTTTAGCTATATCTTACATACTTTAATGTTATATTTTCATTTTAATTCAGTGCTGTATTTTTTTTAGGACTTCCTGTTTGATCTCTAGGTTATTTGGTCATGTATTCAGAGACTTCCTCTCAGTTTTGACTACCAGTGTGACTGTATGGTCAGGGATATACTCCATATGATTTTAGCTTGAGGTTCACTTATGGCTCAGGATTTGGCTTATTTTAAGACAAGAGTCCTAGTGTCCTGCCCGTTCTCTGTTGCCTCGGCTGAAGCTCACATTACCTCACTGGTAGAGAAAAGAAGCAAGGCAAGACAGGACAGAGAGTGGAGCAGCCTTTCAAGGTCCTGTGACAGAAGTGGGCCTTGAGCTCTGAGATCCCTGCCTGCCCAGACCAGGCAGCTAGACCGTCCTCTCACAGAGCCTTTGCCATCCATGACCTTTCCCATGACATGTGATGAGCACACAATGATGCGGAGGAGGGGTGTGGTGGGGACAGGAGCAGCTAGACCAGGCCCTGTGCCCCTACACCCTCACCTCTTTCTAATGGGGTGGTAAATGAGGAGGGGCAACTCAGATGCCTAAGAAGCTTAGGCCCAAGTCTCGGAGACAGCGCCGGGCCGTTGCCCCCCTCACCCAGGTCCGCCGGACGGCCCATTCCCAGCCTTGTAAACAGGCCAAGTGCAAGGACAAGGGCTCTCAGGACCGTCGCTGTCGCCGTCAGAATACTGTACCCAAGAGTGCCAGCCAGCCGCAAGAAGTTGACTCCTCGTCTCCTTCCTACAGGACTTACCGAAACAGTGAGGAACTTCGGTCTCTAATTGCATCTGGAATCCTCACACCCATCCATGAGCAGTGGGACAAGCCTAGTGTAAGCAGTGTCCCGAGGGAGTTCCCACCTGCCACTGCAAGAGAGGTAGACCCCCTCCGGATTCCCCCGCACCACCACCCCCAAACCAGCCAGCAGCCTCCCTGGTGAGTACACAGCCTCCAGAGCGCAGCCCATGCTTCTGTGGCAGGAGCCCTGCCATCTGTCCTCTCCGGCCACTTGACGCCCTCCATGGCCCCCTCATGTCTTCAGCACAGCTGCCAAGGTTGTAGTGAGTGGGGTAGAAAGTGGAGGCCTGAGTAGATCAGTGAATTCTTGCACTAGTGATCATTCTAACTATCCAGCATCCTGACACTGGCCAAGGGCCCAGGGCTGCTGTCCAGTTATTCATTCCAAACCTCTTTGTGTAGGACTCTGAGCTGGATTTTTTGGGAAAATGCAAAAAATGCAGAAGTGCACTGTCCAGGAAGAGTGTAGTTCCAGGCTCTTGTCCATTTCACTCAATTGAGGTGCCCGGACCACTCTGGCAACTTGTGAAGTCTTCCAAAGCAGCACGCTGCAGGTGGGAGTGAGTCACAGCCATAGTCCTTGCAGATTGGGGTGGCAGCTAACTTGAATTGGAGACTTCTGCTCTGGCATGGGGAACAAATACCAGGGAACCTCAGTCTCTAGCACTTCCCAGTTTGGGGCCCATGAGGTGTGGTAGAAAGGATGGGGTTGACAGAGCTAGAGAAGGAAGTAAGTGCTCAAGGTGTTAACTAACATTTTATTTTGGCTTGCAGTTGTATAGCTTTACTTTAAAAACGAGGATCAATTATTGTAGGTGATAATTGGTAGTCTAGCAAAAACAGTAGGTTCTATAGAGATTGGAAAATAGTAAAAAAAAAAAAAAAAAAAGTGGTTAAAATGGTTGGGAACAGCTTACTGATACAACCTTATTTCTTAGAAGGCAACTGGAGGTAAGATTGACCTGCCTAACTGGGACTGCGGCCAGGCATCCTGGCTGCCTGCAAATTGAAGTGTGGTGGTAAGATGCAAGCATAAGCCCAGGAGAGCTGTCAAGTCGGGGGAGGTTTGGGGGTAGCAAAGTAACATCCCCATTCCTGGCAGGTGCTCTGCGCCCCTTTCCACCCCTTTTGCCCTGATGCAGGCCACCCCTCACCCCTTACCTGCCACACCAGCATTTTGCTCATTCTAGACCTGGAAACTTTCAAGGTCTGCCCTAGCACATTATAGGGTGTTTGGGGTTTGGAATATAATTCAGATGGTAGAGGGCTCATCCAGCAACAGGCACAAGGCCCTGGTTCATTCCCCAGTACCACAAAAAAAAAATGTTTTTAATGTCTTTTCCTAAGTGAGTAGTAAAGTATATCCAGAGTATGTGAATGGGTAATGGGTGGGCGGGCTGGCTCAATACGGGTCCTGTGCTGGGCATACAGTTAGAGAGGACATCCCATTGCAAAGGAGAAATAAGGGGCATGGGTCAGTCCTACTGCCAAGCTCTGTAGGAAAGAATGACTGAACCAGCCTGTCTAGGGAAGGGTTGTTTTGTTATCTAAGCCTAACTTTTTATTGTCCCTACTGTATAAATCTAGCCACCTCTCTTTTACCATCTGTCCTCACAGTCAGGAAAACGTTTGCCCCAAATCCTGTCCCTTGTTTAGAAAAACTAATTTCTCCTATGTTTAACCAGGTTTGCTAAAAGTAAATCTCTATATAAAGCTCTTTGTGTCTTTCTAAATTTATTTTTAATCCTGATCAGCCTGTATCTTGACTTGTAATTTTTTTAATGTTCCAGTTTATGTTTTACATTTTCTTTTTAAATTTTTGTACTCCCTTTGTAAAAACACTGAGCATATCTTTTGAGTATTTGATAGTTTTGTTTTATTGGCATGATGTAGTTTGCCTAACCTCCATGAATCCATAAAGGACCTTTTCAAGTATTTCCAACTTTCCTATTTTAAGTAGAACAGTTGCAAATTATATATAGATATAGATAGATAGATAGATAGATAGATAGATAGATAGATAGATAGATAGATAGATAGATAGATTTTTTTTTCTTATGCTCTGTTAATCCATGTTCTAACAGACCTCAACCTTTTTAGCCTCAGGAACCTTTCTGCACTCTCCAGAGTTATTAAAGACCCTAAAAAGCTCTTGTTTAGGTTATATCTAGCAATATTTAATGCATTGGAAATTAAAATGAACAATTTCAAATGCTCATTCATTGTTTTAAAAGAATACATTTTGTAACATAAATTACAAACTTTTATGAAAGAGTACCGTTTTAATTTTGTAAATCTCTTTACCTGGCTTAAGGTGTTTTTAATAAAACTTAATTTTTATATAATCTAGTTTATCAATAGTTTTGCAGTATATTGCTGTTTTCTTTATTTGAAAAAACTTTGCTTTATCCCAAATTCTGGAGACATTCTCACATATTTTCTTTTAGAAGCTTTTGTTTTTCTAATCCCCAAGTCAATCTGTTCAAATTCTCAGATACTGTACTTGGCTCTGGAAATACACAGAGATGTGGACCAACCTTAGAGAAGTTTCTAAGCCATTTGGGTTGTGGTTTAACAAGTGTAAGGCTCAGTTCAAACCTCAGTACTTCCCTCCCTTCTTCCCCCCCACACACAAAAAATAAAGGCCAGTGGCTCACAGCTGTAATCCTATCAGGAGAATGAAATTGGATGGTTATGATTGGAAGCTAGCCTGGGCAGAAAAGTTTGTTAGACTCCATCTGCAAAATAAACAACAAAAATCATGTCTGGAGGTATGGCTAAAGTGGTAGAGTGCTAGCCAAACAAATGCTAGTCCCTGAGTTCACCTCCTAATTACTGCCCAAACGGTTGTTTCCAGATAGGTAGGGCTAATTACCCTTATTAGTCTAGATCATAAGTCTTGAAGACTGTGCCAGAAGTGTGCCTGATGTGTGCTGAGCACAGAGGACAGCAGTAGCTCTGAAGGACTCAGTAGGACAGGATGGAAGGACAGCTTCACAAAGATGATGCCGAAGTTTTGAAAGACCAATAAAAATGTCATGGTATTGAGGGTAATTGGGTTTTATAACCAAGGGAATGGTGGGTGCTAATAGGGCTATGAAATCCCCTTGGACAGGAGAAGAGGTGAATGTGAAAGCCATCAAGGGCCAGTGTGTGCTGGAGAACAGAAGCTACCCTGGGTGATAGGGTCCTTCAGGAGTCATGCTTTTTGTTTTGTTTCTTGGTAATACTGGGGTTTGAACTCAGGGTCTTGCACTTGCTAGGCAGGTGCCCTACCTCTTGAGCCTTGCCACCAGCCTTTTTATGACTTTAGTTAATTTTTTAATAGGGTCCCATGTTTATGCTCCAGCTGACCTAGATCATGATCCTCCTATTTGTGTTTCTCATGTAGCTAGATTGGCAGGACAGGTTTTATTGATTAAGATGGGGTCTCTCAAGTGGTTTTTTGTTTTGTTGCCTGTGTTGGCAATTCTCTCAATACCTGCCAAAGTAGCCAAAATTATAGGTATAAGCTACTGCTCCTAGTGAAAGTTTTCAATAGTGACCTGATTTCCATCTCTTAAATAAGTGACTTTTTCTTCCAAGGAATCCCAGTAAGAGTCTGACAGCTAAGATTCTAAGATGGTAAATATTTTGAGTCTTTACTGTGTATTGGCATACAGTTTAAAAAAAAATACAAACCCCAGTCCCCTCACTTCTTTATAGAAAGGTATTATAGAGGGACAAGAGTAGAAACAGGAGACCAGGGAAGAGGCTGACGCAGGCTTCCAGGCAGGAAGTCATGGTGGTAGGCAGTAGGTGGTGGTGAATGGAGCTGGTATATATCTGGAAGTGTACCTGACAGGACTTGCTGATGGGTTGACTAAATGAAGGGAGAGAAACTCAGGATGGTGCAAGTTTTGTTTTTAGCCCAAGTCATTTCTAATTTGGGGCTACCATAGCATAGGCTTCAATGGAGATACTCTTCATGCAACTTGGGGCACATCTCTGAATAGTCCCTTGGCAAACATTGCAATAAGGATTAAGCCTATTTTTAAAGGTGTTTTTGTTTGTTTTTTTGTTTGTCAGTCATGGGGCTTGAACTCTGGGCCTGGGCACTGTCCCGGTGCTGTTCAGCTCAAGGTATATGCTCTACCACTTAAGCAACAGTGCTTAAGTTTTCTGGTGGTTAACTGGATATAAGAGTCTCATGGAGTTTCCTGCCCGGGCTGGCATTGAACCATGATCCTCAGCTCTCAGCCTCCTGAGTAGCTAAGATTACAGGCATGAGCCACTGGCTCTTGGCAAGATTTTGTTTTTGTTTTGGAAGTACTGAGGTCTAAACTCAAGGCCTTACACTTGCTAGGCAGTTGCTCCACCAATGAGCCACAATTCTGGCCCTTTTTTCTGAGATAGTCTCAGTTTCTATGGAGGCACATGCCTCGACGGTGATGCACCGTTTCTATGCCTTCTATGAAGCTAGGAGGATAGCTAATGGACCACTGCATCCAGATGCTGAAGAAAGGGGTCTCATACTTTTTTGTTCAGGCTAGCCTTGAACCACAGTCTTCCTTATCTCCACCTCTCAAGTAGTTAGGATCACAAGCATTGTGCCAAATTCTGCCTGTTGCAGTCTAGCCTTTGGCCTGCCAAATGCAAAACACAGCTCTTTTCTCTCCTCGTTTCCAAGTTTTACCCATTACTACAACTCACTTCAAAAGTCACCTAGAATTGAATGGATCCAAAAATTGTGGTATCTATATTATGCAGCCATTAGAAATGACAAAATAATGGCATTTGCAGGGAAATGGATGGAGCTAGAAGAAATCATGTTGAGCGAGGTAAGCCAAGAGCAAAGAGACAAACGGCACATGGTCTCCCTGATAAGTGGATGTTAAATCCAAAATGTTAGGTAATATGACAAAATTAACAAGACTTAAGAAACAAAGAACTTCCACTCATCTGGTCGAACCATCACTAAATATCCCCATGCTGCTGATCACATGTATGGTGTGTATATGTATACCGTTATATGTTATAGACTGTGATAGACAATTTGCTCCAGGAAAGTTAGAATGAGCTTGTGACCTTAAATGAGCATCATTATTCCACAATACTGTGAAATTTGGGAAATCATGTAATCACTTAATCACACACAC